GAACGTTCTTGTCACCCCACTGCTTCTGGCCACTGTCCCCATGAGCGCTGTGCCCTGCACCCCACTGCTTCCATCGAGTGTCTGTCTCCTGCCAGCTCTCACAGCTGCCGGAACACCTTTCTGTCATCTCCCCTGCCCTTGCTAGTCTCCCAGCGGCTCTTTTAAACCCTACCCACACAGCTTACAGCATCCTGTCATCACACCTCCTCCGGGATCCCTTCTGCCTGTTCAGTGTGCTTTCCTGTCAAGGCCCAGCAGACGTGCTGCAAAGAACCCGAGATTTGTGGTTTCCTTGCTAATAGGGCGTTTGAACTGGTGTTAATTTTATCTTTAGAATCTGTGTGGCTGATGGGCATTCCTGCACAGGGCTGCTTTTAAATAATCTGTATGTGTGTATATACCACGGCACACACGTGGAGGTCAGAGGACAACTTGCAAAAGTCTGGTTCTTTCCTTCTACCATAGGTATGACTCTTTGGACTTGAACTCAGGTCACCAGGCTTGGCAGCCTGCAGCCCCACCTGCTGAGCCAACACACTGGTCCCCTGTACAGGACTCCTTTCTGTTTGTAGCAGAGCTGAGTAGAAACATTATCATTTCAGTTATGGAGACAATACTGTGTCTCATAACAAATACAATTCTAAAGTGTATCAATGAAAGCAGAGGCCTCTTAAGGACCCACGTGTCACACCCCTTCCTATTCCCTAGGAGCAGCTAGCATAGCAATTACAGTGCCTCTTGGGTCTTTATATGGATGTGTTAGCATCGGATAAATGTACTTACGGGTATAGCGATAAACTCATGCCTATATGTCTGTATGTCTGTCTGAAGGGGCTCATGTCTAGAATCCACTTGTGGTCCCACTATGTTTGTCTTGTCCCATGTCTGTTAATAATTAAAGCTTGGGTTATAATTATGTAAGAGAAGGTAAATTTTCATTGGCGATATTGTGACACGTACAATTGGTCTTCGCCTCTGTCTCCTGGCAATATAACTCCTAAAATCTTTAGAATATCTGAAGTGAGATCCCTTGTTGTGTGCCTGTGGCAGCTGCTGTATGGCTGTAGGCTAGAGACTGGTTCTTTTAGTTCCTTTTCTGTTGCTATGGAAAAAAAAAAAACATGACCAAGACAACCTATAAAAGAAAGCATTTAGTTTTAGGCTTACAGTTTCCGAGGCTTAATCCATGACCACGGCAGGAATCATGGCATCGGGCAGGCAGGCATGACTCTGAAGCAGTAAAGGTGAGCTTACACCTTGAGACCCAACCCCGAGGCAGAGAGAGGGACACTGGGAATGACTTGGATCTTTTGAAACCTTAAAGCCCACCCCAGTAATACATTGCCTCTCTCTCAAGGCCACACCTCCTAATCCTTCTCTAACAATTCCACCAACTGTGGACCACATATTCAAACATAGTAGCCTGGGGGGGGGGAGGGCACTGTTCTCATCCAAACTATGCTTTTTCTGATGAGACTGAGGTTGCGGTAAAGGGTTGGGGCCTTTAGTCCCACTCCCCATGCTTTTCAGGGATTTGAAGTTGGATACCAATGGTCATGGTGTAAATTTTGGTACACATACCCGAGTCTCCACAAAACATGAAAGGTTGCAGTTAGACAGGTCAAGATTCCTGGGGTGCCAGCTGCAGAGGCCATGGAAGCCCTCTGTCCCTTTTCCTTTATGTGACCTACCATGTCTCTTTTTCTTCATCCTTTGTAATGTCTTGTATTCAACTGCTAAATACAAGTGTTTCTTTGGGATTTGTGAGCCAGCCCAACAAATGAATGGAACCTAGGCAGGCAGTCTGGAGAACTCTGGTTTGTAGCCCCTGGGTCAGAAGTACTGGGAAACCCAGCTGGGGCTTGTGATTGGCACCTGGCATGGGTCTGTGAGCCTGTGCTCTCCACCCATGGGATCTAATGCTGTCTCCAGGCTGGCAGAGCACAGCGTGATCAGAAAACTCTGCTGGTGTCCACTGTCGCATTAAATGTTGCAAGGTCCTCTCACCCGCTGTTGTGTTGAGAAGATACAGACAAAGCAAAGTTTGGCCACTCCCTGTACAACTTCAGTTTCTCTTTCTTTCTTTCTTTCTTTCTTTCTTTCTTTCTTTCTTTCTTTCTTTCTTTCTTTCTCAAAAAACAATTTATTTAACTTTATTTTATGTGCTTTGTTGTGAAGGTATCAGACAATTGTGAGCTGCCATGTGGGTGCTGGAAACTGAACCTGGGTCCTCTGGAAGAGCAGGCAGTGCTCTTACCCACTGAGCCATCTTTCCAGCCCCTTATCTTACATTTTCCAATTGTATATCTTTGGCATGTTTTTAAAGACAGTCTTAACTTTTTTGTAAATTAATCTTATAATCACCTACCTTATTGAATTTCTCATTTATTCTGGTGTCTTCCTTAGTCATGAGGGAAAAGCTCTCATAAGTGGGCCATTCCATCATCCGCAAATTAACTTTTTATCTCTTCATTATTATACTTAAATTTTTATTACACTTATTTCTTTTTGTTTGTTCGTTTGTTTTTTTTCAAGACAGGGTTTCTTTGTGCAACCCTGGCTGTCCTGGAACTCGCTTTGTAGACCAGGCTGGCCTTGAACTCAGAGATCCACCTGCCTCTGTCTCCTGAGTGCTTGAATTAAAGGTGTGAGCCACCACCACCCAGCCATTCCTGTGCTGATTTCTATACTGTGTATGTTGGGCTTGGACGGGCATGCCATAGCACACGTGGAGGTCAGAGGACAGCTCTGTCCTTCTACCGTGGGGGTTGCATGGAATGAACTCAGGCCATTAAGCTTAGCCGCAGGCACCTTATCCTCTGAGCCATATCCCGTTACTAATGTTTACACAGTGTCTTTTTCATGTTATTTGGTAACTGGGTTAAGTGATTGAGGCAGGTGTGTGGGGTCTGACCCAGGGAAGTCTTCTTTGACGGTGGTTACAATCTAGTTTGTATCAAAGGGTGTACTATACAGCAAAGGGGGTGGAAAATAGGTTCCAGACAGGCAGGCCTTGGGAAGGGAAATGAGGTGGCTAATGAATGCACCGGGCACTGATGAGGCTCAGAGAATCAGGGGCAGCCTGAAAAGTGGCAGGGACCTACGCTATAGAGCAGACTTCCGAAAAATTTAGAACGGAGCAAGAAATCCTTGAGGCTGAGTGGTCCCTGAAGCTGCCAGCACCCTGAATGTTGGAGCCTATGAATATGTCACCTGACTTGGCAAAGGCTCTTTCTAGATAAAATGAAGATTATGGCCACTTAAAGAGGACAATTAGCCTGGATTAAGTAAATGGGCCCAGTATAATCACAGGAGTCCTGGAAAGTGAAGGATTTCTCCAGCTGAAAGCAGAAGCCAGCTCTAAAGAAGGGCAAATCGGAGAGTGAGAGAGGCTTAGCCTCCACGGCTCCTGGGGCCATGGAGAAAGTTAGAGAAAGACTACAGAAGCAAAGACTGCTCTTTCCTACAAGGGAGCCAGCTGCAGGGGTGAGATTCGGGGAGCAGCTGGAGTGAGCACGGACTGGGGTTCTCTTCTGGAGTTTCTGGGAAGTGTGCAGCCCCTGGCACACTGGCTCACTCTCACGTGACTGTACACTAAGGACCTGGCTGAGCTCCTCAGTAATAGGGTGTTGGCCTTCAGGACTCTGAGATAATGAATGTATTTTACTATAAACTGTTTAGTCTGACCCTACCTTGATTTAGCAGCAGGAGAAAATAAATTCAAAGGAGTTTGAGCATGGCAGCAACATCTTCAGATTTTACGTTAGAAATGGTTATGAGCTGGGCATGGTGGCACACGCTGGAAGTCCCGGCCAGCACTCAGAGGCTGAGACAGAAAGATCATAGCCTTGGGGCCAATCTGGGCTACACTGGCCAAGTTCTAGTCAGCCTAGGCTGGGTAGAGAGAGCCTTGTTTTGAACGATACAACAGAGAACCAAGCAATGGTGCTGAGTGCAAAATGGATGCAGAGTATAAACTGATTTGGGGGAACATAGTTCCCAGCACCCCCCTCGAGTGGCTCACAACCACCTGTAACTCAGCTCTGGGGGAGCTGAGGTCCTCTTCTGGACTCCTGAGGCACCCACATTCATAATTGAATATGCCCCACCACACGCAGGAGGATACGCATAATTTACAGAGGGCTAGAGAGAGGGCTCAGTGGTTAAGAACATGTATAGTTTTTCTAGAGGATTCGGGTTGGGTTTTCAGCATCCCCTCCCCATTGGGCTTCTCATAACTGCCTACAATTCCAGTCGCAGGGCTCCCTGGTGCTTGAATGCATGTGATGTACATCCAGGCATGTCGGCACACCCACAGATAAACATACAGCTTTTAAAAATCTTTTTTTAAAGAATTAAGATGCTAGATTGCTGGCTTGGTCATTAAGAACACTTGCCGCTATTTCAGAGGACCCAGGTTCAGTTCCCAGTATCCACATGGCAGCTCGCAACCATCTGTACCTCCATTTTCAGGGAATCTGATGTCCTCTTGTAGCCTCTGCAGGCACTAAACACACACATGGCACACACACACACACACACACACACACACACACACACACGACAAAGTACTCAATACACATGGAATAAAAATAAACTTACAAGGCAGTCATGGTGGCGCACACCTTTAATATCAGCACTGAGGAGGCACAGGCAGATGGATCTCTGTGAGTTTGAGGTCAGCCTGGTCTATAAAGTGAGTTCCAGGACAGCCATGGTTGTTACACAGAGAAACCCTGTCTCAAAAAACCAAAAAAAAAAAAACAAAAACAAAAAAAAAAACCAGAAACCAAAAAAAGTTACACTTTTACAAAAATGATTTGATTGGCTGTTGGTCATGGAGGACTTGGTGCTGAGCCATCCAGAAAGGGCTCCTTGAGACAGGTGCCTTGCCATGAGTCAGTGCTTGCCCTTCACGTGGAAACCGTCTCTGAAGTTTCTTCACGCGTAAGGATGATAATAGCTTTATACCTTAATGGCTTTTTTCTTTCTGCTCCCAGGTCATGTAGGACATGGTAAATCATGTGAAGATGGGACTCTTGGTATTTGTGCGCAATCTGCTGCTAGCCCTCTGCCTCTTCCTGGTCCTGGGATTCTTGTATTATTCTGCTTGGAAGCTGCACCTGCTCCAATGGGAAGACTCCAGTAAGTATGGCCACTGTGGTTCCCGCCGAGCCTGTAGCTTACGCGCAGCTGCCATGCCTGTGGGGAGTAGGCGTAGACACCTCCCGCCCTCCAGTCGCTGCAGGCTGAGAGCTTTGATGCTTGCCTCCCTCTTCAATCTGCATGCTGTGGCGTGTCTCAGTTTCCTTCATGTGCTCGGTGAGAATGTGCTCTTCTTGGGTTCAAACCTCAGACTGTACCCGGATTTCAAGTTCCCGAAGGCTCTTGTCTTCTTTTAATTAGTCAGATGCACCCCACCCTTACTTCTCGGTTACTGCCTTGGGGTTTGGTATTTAAGCTGGTTTATTTTTCTGTCCTCAGAACTTTTATCTTTCCTTTTTCCTTGCGTTTTCAGTTTGGTGTTGTCTTTGTTTCATTTCCCCCGGGGACACTGTCTCCTTCGTCTTTTCAGCCCGTCTGGTCTCAGGTGTGCCGTAGTGTCCCCCTCCGAAGTCCTCTGTGTTACAGGCACGCAGCTGAGAGAATGACCTTACTCGACACCCATCACCTCGCATTCCATTCTTGGCTACAGCTTCAAGCACCACACGGGGAACACCCCCCCCCCCCATGGCTCTTCTTTGGCCGTTTTGTTTAATCCTAGCCTGGTTTAGGAAAACCAGGCCTAGTCGGATTCTTCTCGAAACCAGTTTTGTTTTTATGGACAGCTCCTGGATGTCAGCACATAACTAACTGGTCTAGATAGAGAGTAGGGTCGGTCTCTGGGGCAAAGTTAAAATGAAGTGGAAGATGTAGCCGGCACCTGGCCACCACTGCCCTGAGGCCCTAACGCGACAGCCGTGGCTGTGAAACAGACCAGGTTTTTCTCACATGGTCCAAACTACTTGGGAAATTTTAAGGTGAAATTTAAAATACCATACTGAATCTTTATGGCTTTGTGTAGAATGTTCATGCCTCTTAAATGTTTAGCTTGTGCTGGGACTGGGCTCAGTTGGTGGTGTGCCTGCCTAGCGTGCACAACGCCCAGCACCAATAAAACTAGTTCTGGTGGCTCCCACCCATAATCCGAGTACTCAGAAGCTGAAGTCAGAACCAGAAGTTCAGGATCATCCTTGGCCACATGGTGAGTTCAAGGTCATCCTGAGCTATGTGACACTCTGTGTGTGTGTGTGTTTTTTAAAGGCTTAGCTGATAATTATCACTATTTTGTGTTTCAAGAAATTGTTTAAATTTTTCTGCCTCGATTTATTTTTAGAATTAAGATTGGGTACTCCAAGGTAAGGAACCTCTGTATCAGGCAGTATAGAATTCTGAACAGTAGCTGCACGTCGAAATCATAACTAAGGATTAAATAATATTTTCCTAGAGAAGTAGAAAGAAATTAGCATTATGGAAGACCCATAATAGCAGGCATTTGGCCAGACAATAGATACATTTTATTTCACCTAGTTTAATTTAATTTAATTCTTAATACCAGTCTGTGAAGATGTCCTTAATTTTTATTTTCCAGTTGGACAAACCCCAGCCACTTAATTAATACCAGGGCCACACAGTTGAGCTGGAATTGAACTCTGATTTTCCATCTTTAAGACCCGTTTCATATCGAAAACTATAACAAATTTTGAAGAGGATTTAGTGCTGTATTCTACTTGATAAAAAGAGAGAGAGAAAGGGCTCTCAAAGAGGTATTAAAAAGCAAAGGAGGGAATGAGAGGGAAGACAGGGAGAAAAGAGACAGAACCTGGAACTGGCGGCCCACACGGTACAGTAATCGGGAGGCAGAGGCATGCCCATCTCTGTGAGTTCGAGGCCAGCCTGATCTACATAGAGAGGTCCAGAGCAGCTTATGTCACCTAGTGAAACTCTGGCTCAAAAAAGAAAAAAAAAAAGGGTGGGGAGGGAGGTTGAGGAGGCAACATGGAGGTTGGTTAGGTTACGTTGGCAGCTACTCACAGCCAGTGTGCTGTCTGAGGGCCTGGGTGGCTCATTCTTAGTCACCACAGCTGTGTTGTGAGGTGATTAACCGGTAATCACAATGTTCCCGACATTCTCTCTCTCAAGCCTCTTAGATATTTGATTTGGAATAAGATGTTGAGTTTGTCTCACTGCGGAATCTCTGTGTTGTAGTCTGAGAGGAAGAGGAGCAAGCCTGGGTGAGACACCAAGGCAGAGAGAGACCTTCACTCAGCAAAAGAGGCAGGCCCTGATGGTTGCCTTGTTGGAGGTTGGGGTGTGTGTGTGTGTGTGTTGGGTCTTGCTATGTAGCTCTGGTTGGACTAGAACTTATGATGTAGACTAGACTAGCCTCAGACTCACAGAGAGCTGCCTGCCTCTGCCTTCCAAATGCTGGGATTAAAGGTGTGAGTATCTTCCAGATAGAAGTTTTGCAGTTCTAACGATTACAAGGCTTATTGTAGAGGGGTACAATCTACTTAGCCTTGGGCAGCTTCTGGATAAACTCGTATACCAGAGGCCTGGGTCAGATGCTTACCTTCAAAGAGTAGTTTGAGAATAGCCTGGTTATAAACCTGTTTTATACAGTGCCATAGAGAGGGCTAAAGAGATGGCTCAGTGGTTAAAAGAGGTTGCTGCTCTTGCAGAGGACCCAAGTCAGGTGACCCAACTCTAGCTTTGAGAAATCAGATGCTTTGGTCTCCATGAATACCTGTTTCACACAAATATACACACACATACACATGCACACACGCATGCACACGCACACACACGTACACACACACACACACCATTAAAAATAATTTAAAAGCCAGGTGTGGTGGCATAGGCCTTTAATCCCAGCACCAGGAGGCAGAAGCAGGCAGGTCTCTGTGAGTTTGAGGCCAGCCTGGTCTAGTGAGCCAGGCCAGCCAAGGCTACACAGTTGAGTCACTGACTCAGAAAAGAAAAAAAAAATAGAATAACAAAACCAAATCTTTTAACGATTCAGACGAAAAATAGCGTGGGAACAAGATGTTGTGCACACACTTACAAACCCCACAGTGGAGAAGCTGACGCGGGCTGGGCTCTATGCCAAGACACTGTTTCAGAAGCAGATAAGCTGAGCCCAGTGGTCCAGGTCCTTACTCATAGCTACGCAGGAGGCTGTCACTAAAAGACCAGAAGCTCACAGAGCATGGGACTCACCTTCAGTCCCAGCACTGGGAAGGCAGAGGCAGGCCAGTCTCCAGGTTTGAGGCTAGCCTGGTCTACAGAGTGAGTTCCAGGGCATCCAGAGCTACACAGAGAAACCCTGTCTCAAAACACCCCGTTAAAAAAAAAGATCAAAAGCTCAAGATCTGCTGAGCCACATGGTGATTTCAAGGCTACTCAGGGCAACTTACTGTGATCTTGTCTCAAAACTGAGGAGAGGAAAAAAAAAAAAAAATATATATATATATATATGAAGCTGGGAACATGACTTCTGGTAAAACTGGTAAAGTTCTGGCCTAATATGCAACCCAGGGTTCAGCCCCCAGCACTGCATACACACACGTGTGCATATATACACACACATGTACTTACATATGCACATATACACATGAACACCCACATGCACACATACATACACTGACATGCATGCATACACACTCATATACACATGTACATACACATATTCACACATACCTACACATAACACACGTACTCGCACATGCATATACATGCATGCATACTCACACTCATACTTACACATATGCATACATACTCATGTACATATCCACACTCCTATACCCACATTCATTCACATACATACATGCATACATACACATACACTCACACATACATGCACACAAACAAATATACATACCATCTTAGGGTTTTTATTGCTGTGAAGAGACACTGTGATCATGGCAAGTCTGTTGTTGTTATTTTTTGGTTTCCTGAGACAAGGAATGGCAACTCTTATAAAGAAAGCATGGATTCAGAGGTTCAGTCCATTATCATGGTGGCGGGAGCATGGCAGCGTGCAGACAGAAGGAAGCTGAAAGTCCTGTATCTCGCAGGCAGCAGGAAAGTTGACTGAGACCCTAGGCAGTGTCCTGAGCATAGGAAACCTCAAAACGCCTCCACAGTGGCACACTTTCTTCAACAAGGCTACACCTTCTAATCTCATACCCTATGAGATTATGGGGGTCAATTACATTCAGACTGACACACACACACATACACACAGTAGAATTAATATTATAATGTGATAAAAATATACACATTTGTCTTTCACACAGTTATTTTTATAAACTACTAAGCAAACCAGCGTACTCCTCGGGGTTAGAAAGCTTTAGACGTCCTTCCATTTCTTCTTCCCAGGCGGGGATAAAGTACTTGAGTTTCTCTTCCCTGATTGTTTATCTGGGCCATTGCTCTGGCTAAGAGGTAGGTGTCTCCTTTGGAAATGATTCTAGTGCCCTGTTTCATGGAAACTATGCATATTGATTTAAAGTTCTGCTATTTCTTCTTAATAAAATGGACCTTCCAGCACTCTCCTATGTGGTAGGATCTTTACAAATGGATGCCCCTGTGTTTAACTGAAGTGACGTAAGTCTGCTCAGCTTCATATTTGTGAAGGATTGTAACAGAAGGGCCTGAAATGTGCTTCTCATCTGACTGCTGCTGAAAACCTCAGGGAGCAAGTCAGTTGGAAATTGCACCTGGTATTTAAAAAGGACAGGCTGGACTGAGCTAATAGGCATAGGACAAAGGACCTAAGTTCAGTTCTCAGCACCCACACTGAGTGGCTCTCACCTGTTGAAATAGGAGCGGCGGGGCTGCGTCCCCAGCACCCCGCCGCCCGCATGGCTAGCTTATGCCCGAAATAATTACACGGAAACTGTATTCTTTCAAACACTGCCTGGCCCGGCTAGGTCCAGTTTCTTATTGGCTAGCTCTTACATATTGTTTTAACCCATTTCTAATATTCTGTGTAGCCCAAGAGCTGGCTTACCAGAGAGGATCTTAACCTGCATCTGTCTGGAGTGGGAGCATCTGGTAAGCCAGCTCATGGGCTACACAGAATATTAGAAATGGGTTAA